AAAGTGTCGATGTGAAGTGTGAAGTGTGAAGTGTCGATGTGAAGTGTCGAAAAAAATGCGTTGAAGCGACCCGACCCGCCCAACCCGACCCGACCCGCCCTAACTCTAACCCTAACCCTAAACATACCTCATATAAAAATATAAACATAATACTAAACAACCTAAAACTATACCTCGGGTACATATCTGTAGTACCTGATACGACAACGACCCCCATCTGCGTCAGTAACGTCAATCCACATACACGTTAATATTAACAGTTTACATTTACCGTTGAGTAATTGTCAAGAGTGACAGATCGACGTAACCATATAGATGTAGATTAAAACTACTTACTAGTACTACAATATTGTACTTTGTAGTACTGAGCACATGCTAACCTTAATACTATAATATATAATACTATATATATTATATGATATATATATATAACGCTGCCCGTATTGTTTTTTAGCTCTGTCACACTAAGCCTACACGGGGTAAGGTAAGGTCCACATGAGTATAGAGCTATTTTAATGATGATAGCAGGGTTCTCCCCAGGATGAAATTCAAACAGGGGGGAGGGGAGGGGAAGGGGGAGGGGGGAAACTAGGAGGGTCCGGGGAGAGCGTGTTTTTTTTAACCGTACCACTAATTAATGCGTAAAATCGCCACCACACCATAGACGGTATTTGGGGTTCTTGTATATATAAGATAGCCGAGTCGGTGTTCAGTTAGTGTTGGGTGTGGGACAGGTTGACTGTTTGTACTTGTGTATTGTCTGCAGTGCATGCGTGGCAGGGTAAAAATACACGTGCCGGGTGTCCTGGTCGAATGGGAATTCTTGACGATCGATTCCCCCGCTGGCAAACTTTTATTGTGGTAGAATTTAATCGGGGCGGAGGTAATTTAAACGGGGCGCAACGATTGAAACAGGGGGGAGTTTTCCCAAACGGGGCGCGCGCGCTCCGTTTGCGCAACGTAGGGAGAACCCTGGATAGCTATAGTGACCGAAGCGGGATTATGAAGATAATATTTTGGTTAAAAACAAATAAAGATGTATATGCGGCCTTATTTATGGTGAGCATATATACCTGCTTTGATGGTTGGTTGGGAGGTGGGGTTTGTATCATTATGTAGTCAAACTGTTTTCCTTCATAATTTTAGGTGGAAATTTTTCTCTGATTTTATTGCATCGGAGCGTCGCATAAGCCGTAAAGTACGGTATATTATTGGGTAAAATGGTTCGTTAATGTTAAATATGACCACCACGTATTAAATGCTACCGGGTATACTTAATTGCATGTAAACTGTAATGTTATTGAATGCTTAACCTATAGTTATAAATGCTACCAGGTAGCAACGCCAGGTACCAGGTACCAGGTAATGTAAATGCAATCCAGATAAGTAATCATCTTTGTCTTCTTTCTTTTTATGCTTCTTTTCCTGTGCTATTTCTTTTGCCTTCTCTTTCTTCTTTTCCTCCTCCTCCATCTTCTCTGCCACCTCATCGTCATCCTTCATCTTTTTATATATTTTTCTCTTGTTTTCTTCATTCATAACTTTGTTTCTTTTTGCACTCACTATCACTGTTCATACAAAGTACAATGTAAATTTACATCTTTTTCACTATGCAAACATCCAACAATGTCAGGCTCGGGTATCGCTATTAATTTTATAAATGTCCAAATGATCACTAGCCAATGCTAATTAATACGTAATTATTACTTATGACCTACCTTACAGATGAAGAATCAACATCTGTAGCTGTAATTGAAGTAGAAGAATTGCCTACAGAAGTTGCTGGTGTACTAAGCAATGAGGAAATACAAGAATCTATCCTGGATGTGAATAATACAGCACAGTCCTTGGTTGAAAATACCGAGAATGAGGCTATTCGTACTTCTAATTCAGAAACAAAGGGTTTGTATAAATTGGCTCAAAAAAACACATATATTAAGAAAATACCAGAACTAAAGTTTATAGGGTAGAATATGATTTAAAGTGGCTATTCAACTATAACCGTAAACTTTCACGTTCCTACTATATCATGCCTACACAGTTATTGTAACTTCAAGAAAAATATAAAATAACGTTGCACCTACATGCATAACATCTACTATTGCATAACATCTACATGTGGGAATTACACAGTTATTGTAACTTCAAGAAAAATATAAAATAACGTTGCATCTACATGCATAACATCTACTATTGCATAACATCTACATGTGTAATGACTTTGTATGACTAAGTATAGCTGGCTTTGATATTTACAGCCAGAACATAAGTGCACAGAGTATATATAGCAGGCTTATAAATGTCCAAACCTTTGCACATTTCTGATCAGTTGCTCTTGAAAGTGCTATACAGTATTAAAACAATCAAGGTAAAAGACTTGAAAATGCCATTAGAATAGTGCCAAATTTCGTTGCAATTTTATATTTTTCTTTTGCTATTGACCATAATCTGTTATACATCACTATAAATTGAGCGATCGTGGAATCTGTGTTACATGTCCTTGTAGCGCTGCTGCGCTCCATCATCTAACCTTTATAAAACCATTATAAAATCATTATAGCAGACCTGTGATTTGTTATTAGTTTTAAAATGAATTTCAGGTTGAAAATGTTCTTCAGAATAATTTGTTAAATCCATACATCAATCTCAATCACTCAGATTGTCTCAGAATGCACCTAATAGATGTTTGCCATTTTGTAAAAATTACTTAATTATAATTTTGTTCTGAATTATGTAAAGGGTAGAGTCCAGTCAGCAGAAGTTGCTAAATAGTTGACTGGGATGGCTTATCGTTCAAGTAGTATTCATTGTCATTGGTATGGTCTGTTATTAAATTTGTATTTAAATTTTGTGTTTGCAACCTAATGATTCAGATAAACAGTCAGTTTCGCAAAAGCATTCTGCTATCAAGCCATCAAAAAGTGCTTCTGGGTCAAGTCAGCAGCTAGAGTCAAATGACGTACCATTGGCTAACACTGATGTAGAGGAAAAGAAAGAGGAACTACAAACGGTACAACCTGCACAGAAAATGGTATGTAATTGTGTTGCCACTATTATAATCATTTGATGTATGGATAAGCCTCATCATGTTCAAAAATTATTCAAGGTTATTGGTTTAAAAATCCACAGTTATTGCAAATTAATGGATAGCTTTAATGTGTTTGTTTAACAGTTGTTTACAGTTGAATTGTATATTTAAAAGTTTAATAGCACCAAGAATAAATTGTGTTGTGTGACCTAGATGTTTACACATGTAACAATTCATGCATTCACAGGCGTAAACAATGCATAATAAAGATAACTGAGGTAACCCAATCAAATTTATCTTAGAGAAATACTTTTTGGCAAATTTAACATATTTCATCTATGATGATGAGCAATTAAATCATTATTTGAATGTAATTTTTTTTATAGAAAAAGGTGATTCAAAAAGTGACAACAGTTAATCTCTTCCTTCATAAAGGAGATCAGCCTGATGTAATATCACAACAACGATATATGTTCTTTTTAAGGTAAAGATTTTGTATACATATGTAACTGAAATTATTTATCTATATTATTATAATTACATTGTATGAAGGTACACAAATATCATTTGCAAATATATTGACTACACCAGGTCTGAAATTTTAAGGAAGTTCTGGTAATCAAAAGTGAAACTTTCTGGATTTGCTACAGACGTGTTGAAATCACTATAAGAAAATGTATATTGATTTATTACCTAAAAGTTGCCGGTGTCACTTAAAAATTTACAGTGTGCCCTAATATATCCTTTTATGAATCTGTATGTGCCGCTCAATGCTGAAATTGAAAACGTGAATGCATACTCATCAGCTTACATATCATACATATTTCTGGAAAAATGTAAGATAATCATGCATACTGTTTTATACACACTGGCATATCTTGTAGTAAATGTAGAGAAAATTAGTTGGAAATTAGTGGAATCTGTACAGATTTTGAGTGTCAGATTTTGAGTTGATATTTTTGATTCATGAAGAATCAAATTCGTATGCATTAACTTGATAAAAGGTGTTTGGTAAGAACGTCTGTACAATGAACATGCAAACTCGAGATATTCAATGCATGGTTGCTATATATATGCCAATTGTTGTTTTTACATATTTTAAGTGAAACTTGCTGGTCCTACATTGTTGATTCTAGCTCTGTAGAAAGTCGTTACCCTAGCACTTGATGTGCTGCTTTGTAGAAACTTATGTATTTATGATGCTGGTAGAACAATAGGTGATGCTGTGCCCGTGCCTCAATCAGAAGATGAACTGTATGACTTGTTACCAGAAGCCATCCAGATTGGATTTTTAGGTGAAGAGACCCTGAATGGTATGCAGCAGGTTCTAACACAGGTATGCGTAAATGATAAGCAATAAAATATTATGATATGATATTTAATATTACAATAATATTATAGCATCATTTGACAAAGAGCTGCTCTAAATATCTAAATGTGCAAAGAAACGGTTACAGTAAACACTTTTGAGTAAATTCTGAATTCACAAGTAAGCATGGACAAGTCAATAATTATAAGTTCTCGTGCTGTGTTTACTGCTGTGTATATCAGTACCGTAGCTAACCCATTTTGCTAGGGGGGGGGGGGGCAAAGCCATGTGTGGGTGTGTTCTTGGAAGGTGACTGCCATTGGCCATGTATTGTATCTAATTTTTCTGGGTGGCAACTGTCCCCCCTGCCCGAGTACCCACGACCATGTATATAGTTATTTTATTGTTCTACTTGTTCTGCCCTGTTGCACAGCTAACACCAGTCTTTACTGGCTACTACACACTAAAATACTACTACATCAACAGAAATCATTTCCAGGTTTTAAAACGTTTTATAAAAATCTTTGTAGTGAATAATAAACCACATAACTTTGTTGTGTTTTTACTGTTCTTCAGGTATATGCACCCTTGATATCCTTTAAGACGACTAACACAGGCGAGCTTGACCCACAGTCCTTTAATCAGGCAAATGGAGATAGCAATACTAAGGTCATTGGTACTGCCATGAAGGAGGCAATGCCACCCACAGAACTGAAAAGCCATGCTCTTCTGAGAGACGAGTTTCTCATCAGCATACAGAAATTTGCTGGCCACATATCGAGAACTGTCCAGCAATTGGAAGGTGAACTTGTGTTTTGATAAATATTCTTTTGGGTTTTGTGGTAGTATTTGATGAAATTAAATGTATAGTCATTTACATAAGTCGTTAAATGTATAGTATGGAGTATTTATTGATTATGTGTATTTTCCTGTACATACTACTACTAGTACAATAGTAAAAATCATTTTATTTCAATATGTTGATTTTCTCTAGTAACCTTATAATGTGTATGTATTTTATCATATACAATAACTTCTACAGTACTTGTTCAGATATTTCTGTAGGCAGTAGCAAGACAAGTACAGTGTGCAACAGATTTGGTAAATTGTCTGACTATATTTTGGCCTGGACTGTTGGTTCTCATGAACAAAGATGTTCCGTGGTTGCTAGTTGAGAACAATAAAATCTGTTTGCAATGTTTAAAATCTGGTACAATAGTTGTGCTCTCTACGTACAGCTTGTATTATTCCCGACAGGGGAAGTTCACCTATATGTACCAGATCTAAAGCTGACTGACGATGACAAAGATGTGCTTGGAAAACCAGCTGTTTTACAGGAGGTAGAAAATACTGTAGCAAAATGGCAAGATCAGATATATACAGGTAATATATAGCATATGTATATATATATATATATATATATATATATATATATATATATATATCTTCCCACACTCCTTCCTCCATCACTCCTGTATCTTGCCCTCCATCACTCCTGCTTCCTGCCCTCTCTTCCTCTTGTTCTCTCACCCATACTGCCATATCTCTGATGTTTTCTACCTCATGAGGTGGAAAACTTCAATGCTATTTCAGAGCTGTGCTCACACTCCATTTATACAAACTGCTGTGACTGCATATTTTATGTTGTTTAGCACTTGAGCAGGAGAAGAGCAGAGTTCCACAGGGCAAAGGTCCTCTAGCGGAGATAGACTTCTGGAGAGAACGGAGTGGTACTCTTAGTGCACTTATAGAGCAGTTGAAGCTACCTGCTGTGAAACAAATGACAGCCATTCTGTGCAAGATTGATAGTCAGGTGTGAAGACACGTCAATCGCAATTATGTGCGATTCGTTACACGATATAAACATTATCAAGAATACATAATTAAAAATATGTTCATAAATTTATATTTTTTTATTATACTACAATTTATGTGTACTCTTTTTTGTATTTTTCACATTTTCGTTATTATGGCTTGTAATAAATACTAACTAATTAAACATAATTTCATTACTAATTTATGTCAAGTGAAAATTAACGGCGTTAATTACTTTGATCAGTATAGTAGTATAGTAGTAACTAGTTATAAAAATGTTGTGATGGCTTGTTAAAGAAGGAAGTTATGCATTTTATACAGGTGTACTTCGGTTTTGAAGATCAATGTGCAGACTTGACCAAGTATCACACAGAAGCCAAAGACAATGTACGCTTCCTTACAACACTGGAAAGACATTTCAGAAACCTCACCTATGGTGCTAATTTTCAGGTACAGTTATAATCCATTGAAGTGTAATGAACAATAGAGTAGATTTCTCGAAATAAGTGATGATGTGAAGAATTGATATAAGAGTATTTCTCCTTAAATAGTGCTAGGTTCTTGATATATTGAGTATTTGAATAATGCTAAATGATCGAGTAAATAAATTGATTTTAATAATTTTATTATTGTATTATGTTAAACCTATTTAGCTATATTAGTACATATAAACTATAGTAATGAGGTTTATGACATGCAGAAAACTGGTCATGTAATGTTTGATTAACATGTATACTAGTTCTAGGTTGTGGAAATTTATAGATAAACTTTAAAAAACCATTCACAGAAATACTAGTAAGATCTCTGACCTTTATACATGAAACAGGCAGTCATGGAGACTATACCGTCAATGATGGCTGCTCTGCGGGTTGTGTGGATTATCTCGAGGCATTACAATACAGACGAACGCATGGTGCCCCTAATGGAGATGATTGCCTGGGAACTGACTGATCGAGTCTCTAGGGTCATAAATCTGCGGACACTTTTCAGGTATGCAGTCACTAAACGTACACAAGTTAGGGAGCAGACTACTAGAAGAAAAAGCAATGTAGAAAGGCATAAAAGTAATTTAGTCAAATTATTTTTGTGAAAACGGGTTATTGTTAATGACTTTCATTTATTATAATTAGGAAATGCATATATGCAGTTGTGGTGTGATCATGTTAATCCTTAATAATATATATACAGAATTATTACACCTAATTGCAAAATAATTTTATAGGGACTCGCATCAAAACGTTAAGCAGAAAACGTCGGATGCCAAGCAGTGTTTGGAATTGTGGAGCAGGTGCTATCATGAAACACGTGCTAAAATAGAAGCATCAGGTAGAGATGCTCGGTGGGAGTTTGACAAGAAGCGTCTGTTTGAGAAAACAGACTACATGTCTAAGATCTGCGATGACCTCTTTAATATTGCACAGGTATAATTGTTAGACAATTCTATTGCCACATTGCTATACCTTTACAAATGTAATGTGTTACTCACGTTTTTCTAATAATCAAGGCAACTTGCAGGCACGTTTATTGGCCTGATATAGCAGTAAGTATTAAAATACTTGTTTGAATTTGCAGGTAATGGAGGAGTTCTATAACATATTTGGGCCAGAACTGAAGGCAGTAACAGGAGATCCTGTGAGAATTGACAATGTGTTGAAGCGAGTAGATGCCCTCGTCCGACCAATTGAAGAGGTAATGTTGTGTAGCTGTTCAAAGTAATCAGCACTGTCAATCGAGTCTCGAGCTCAATAATGGTTGTAGAGAGTTTTTCAGTTTGCACAGGCTGGGTCCCTAGAGCTTACCTAGTTCAGGATGCAAACGTGGGCATATATAGCTGACAGATTTGGTGCCTAGGTTGGATTCGACCCATTTCAACATGCCAACGAATACAAGTGGCGTGCAATCATGGATTGGTTCAAACGTGAGGTCGTCTCCATTGAAGAGGAAGCTAAGCACTTCATTGATGAATCGTTCAAAACCCTTCGGTCCGCAGAAGGTGCCTTTGATATGCTTCTCAATTTTAAACACATTCGATCACGAGAGGCTGTCAACAGGCAGATGATGGAGAAGTTCAATGATATTCTGCTACAGTATGCGAAAGAGGTGAGGTATTCCAACACTTTTTGCAACTTTTTTTAGAAAAGTTGGAGCTTATTTCTAAGAGAAATTATCTTAGGTAATGGTGTTACATTTATTATGCCATTATCAGTCTTTGTAAGAAACACCAATGTTTAAAAAAAATATTTTTTAAAAGGTTGACCAAGTGGCAACATTGTTCAGGAATTTTAAAGACAATCCACCTCTGAACAAGGATGTACCACCAGTATCGGGTGCTATCTACTGGGAGCGACATATGTTCAATAGGATAAAGCACACAGTGATTCGTTTCCAATCTCTAGATGAGATGTTCATTACAGAATCAGGGAAAGCTGTAAGTATAGCTGAGAGGGTCTATGTCCTCCAGGGTACTATCGGAGGGTACCCTCGGTACGGTTTGTTATATCGGAACGTACCCTGGTACTATCTAATATGCCGGACCGTACCTCGCCTATTCTACTAACGAGTCTAGGGAGTCGCCTACGCTTACTCCCTAACTCTAACCTAACCCTAACCCTAACCCTAACTCTAACCATATCAGATAGTTACCAGGGTACGTTCCGATATATCGAACCGTACCCAGGGTACCCTCCGATAGTACCCTGGGGGACATAGACCCTATGAGCGTAAGTATATTTGTAAGAGTATCATGCCTATGAAAGCTAATGGAGTTTCTGGGTTTGCTATGACATTTTAAGAAACAGAAACCTTTGTTGAACATGTGCCATTATCGGTGGACACTGTGGAAAACATCTGTGAGTTTGTTAGTATAATAGCCCAGATTCATGTACAATAGTTAATATTATTATTCTACCTCTAAATCTAAATCAAAATCTAACCAGGTGCAGATTGAAATGTAATGGAAAATTCTTGTGACGTTTTCTTGTCAGGCACGGGCAAAGTACTTGTCAGTAGCAATGGAGATGAAAGACTATGAGGATAAAAAGTATGAATCTTGGAGGGAGCGAACAGAAGCTATAATGCCTTCACTACTCAAGCGCAACCTGCTAGCAATATCTGGTACCTCTTCTAATGGACGGCAACCCCAGTTACACCCAAGGCGCAAATCAGTTGTAAGCAGAGTTGAAAAGAGAACTGAAAGTCCAGGTAAAATGTTTCGATCCAAAATTCCTGATAAGTGTAACCTTAGAAATAACATAAGAAAATGTTATAAATGCTATACTCTCGTATCTATATTATATTTGTATCCCCCGCGACGAAGTCGGCAGGGATAATGTGGTTTCATGTCTCCCCAGCCGCCACCGCCGCTCGGTCCGCCGCAGAGAATTTCTCTTCCGCTCTATAACTCCACCCCTAATTGACCTAGCGTGACCAAACTTGGTATACTTACACATCTTGGGGAGAAGGTGAGCAGCGTACCAAAACCAGGTCACTGCGACCTTTATTTGACCTTTACCTTGACCTTGATCATATTTCCCTTTCGCTCTCTAACTCGGCCCACTAATTGACCTAGCGCTACCAAACTTGGTATACTTACACATCTTGGGGAGAAGGTGAGCAGCGTACCAAAACCAGGTCACTGCGACCTTTATTTGACCTTTACCTTGACCTTGATAATATTTCTTTTCCGCTCTATAACTCGGCCCCTAATTGACCTAGCGCTACCAAACTTGGTATACTTACACATCTTGGGGAGAAGGTGAGCAGCGTACCAAAACCAGGTCACTGCGACCTTTATTTGACCTTTACCTTGACCTTGATTATATTTCCTTTCCGCTCTATAACTCGGCCCCTAATTGACCTAGCGCTACCAAACTTGGTATACTTACACATCTTGGGGAGAAGGTGTGTCGCATACCAAAACCTGGTCACTACGACCTTTATTTGACCTTTACCTTGATCTTGATCATATTTCCCTTCTACTCTATAACTCGGCCCCTAATTGACCTAGCGTGACCAAACTTGGTATACTTTCACATCTTTGGGAGAAGGTGTGTCGCGTACCGAAACCAGGTCATTGCAACCTTTATTTGACATTGTCCTTGACCTTGATCTTTATCATATTTTTCTTCCGCTCTATAACTCGGCCCCTAATTGACCTAGCGCGACCAAACTTCATATACTTACACATCTTGGGGAGAACACGGGGGATACATGTAGTTGGCGACAACTGCCCTTTCTAGTTTATAATAATACTGCATTTCTATGACTGAAAATAACAGTTCTTATTCATTGCTTTTAGGTCCCGGGATGAATGATGTCAACATCATCGTTAACTTCTCTCCCGACCAGATGGAAATTGTGTCCGAAGCTAAGCACATGGAACAGCTAGGGTTTCCTGTTCCTGAACTGGCCAGGAATGTTGCTTTGCAGGTAATTGTTTGTTTGGAAATTCTCCTTACATTACGGATTTTCCAATCGCAGAATTTGTGTATTCACAGTTTAATATTTGTATACTATTTCTCCAATCGCAGCACAAGATTTCCTAATTCCCTGTTACGGCTCAACTCATTTCTGCCATGCTCATCAATTCAAACCATGAGGAACATTTCCTAGTTTGATATGTGTGCATCTTCACTTGTTACTTATTTTTGAGAGTAATGCATCATAGCAAGTTATTATACTTGCATAACAATCCATGATGATCATGATTGACAGGAGGAAAAGTACATATTTTATGTGGATAGCCTGAATGACATGCTGGCACGGTATCACTCACTCCTGTTGTCACTTGATCCACCTGAATACGAGCTGCTAGCAGACAACATCAAGGAGCTACGACGAGTGATTGAACCAGGAGCAAAACGACTCAACTGGAATTCGCTTGGAATCTATGACTTCGTAGCTAAGTGTGAAAAGGTTGGTGTGCTTCAACACAATGCAAAAGTTCAATGTCTGTTTTTGGTGCATGTAACACCAAACGTTTATATGAATGAACATTATATATTAATATACATATATTACATAATGTTCATTCATATAAATTAAAATATACATATAACAAAATTCTAAAATAATTTTCTCTAGATATTAGGATTTTGATTTTTTTGCAGGCAATAGGAAAGTTTGAGTCAATAGTGAACCAGATACAAAAAAATGCAAAGGACATCAATCAACGAATGTTGTTGATAGAAACAGCAGATTTCTTCACATACCCGACTTCAGGTGATGGAGGCCAGTTGCCGGATTGCAAGGTTGGTTACTGTTTGGTGTATTTTCTGATTCTTTCAATCAGTATTCCTGAAAGGATTGTAATTAGGCTAATTATACACTATTTTACCACACTCTCATTCCCTGCAGGATTTCTTTGAGTTTTTGGAGCATGAGAGAACACGTGACTTTGAGTTGCTCACTAGGAAGTATCGTGCCATTGGCCCTCTACTCACCAAAATGGAAGGTTTGGTTGTGCATACTAATACTGGGAAATCAGCAAAACTGGCTCCATACTATGCCTACTGGGAGAAGCGGATGTATGAATCACTATTGAAGGTACAATATACAATTGATGCAATTAATTAGTCATTCTACTGTGTAGCTAAAATGATGGTGTCAGTACTTTTCAGCTTGCCTGACATAGTTTTCAACTATAGCAGAATATCAAAACGTGTGTCCATACATCTTGTCCTTCCATCTCCTCAAAATGATAGCTGGATAAGTCGATCTGATCGTCTTACATTAATTGTTAATATTTTACATGGTGACTATTAGAAAATATGTTGTCTGGTCCAAGCTGGATATTAATAGTCAAATGTCAAGGGCTGAAAGGAAAACAAAACTGCCTTCAGTAATGTAAGGTATATATGACTGCTGTCATTGGTGTCATACACTCATGCTGTTGCATTGCAAATCTAAACAGCTTCACCAAGAACTTTTCTATGCGATAAAAAAATTATATTTTCAATTAAAATGACCAAAGTATCTGAAATAGTTATATTTGTATGTGGTACAGATTCCATGTGCACCTAATTCTCCTGTCTATTGGCAAGAGGAAATAAATAGCTTCCTCTGTGTATAGAGCATAGCAATCGCAATTCGAACCAGATGTGTTGTTGTGTGATGTTATCTGCCTTCGTAATTTGTTAGAGAAGCTACATGTAATTGTGCTATGTAGATATGTACTCAGTGGCTGAGCACATTTTGACAATAATTGTATCCCCCGCGACAAAGTCGGCGGGGATACTATGGTTTCATATCTGTACAGCCGCCGCCGCTAGGCCCCTAATTGACCTAGCGTGACCAAACTTGGTCTACTTACACATCTTGGGGAGAAGGTGTGCAGCGTACCAAAACCAGGTCACTGCGACCTTTATTTGACCGTTATCTTGACCTTGATCATATTTCCATTCCGCTCTATAACTCGGCCCCTAATTGACCTAGCGCTACCAAAACCAGGTCACTACGACCTTTATTTGTCCTTTACCTTGACTTTGATCATATTTCCTTTCCGCTCTATAACTCGGCCCCTAATTGACCTAGCGCTACCAAAACCAGGTCACTACGACCTTTATTTGACCTATACCTTGACCTTGATCATATTTCTCTTTCACTCTATAACTCAGCCCCTAATTGACCTAGCGCTACCAAACTTGGTATACTTACACATCTTGGGGAGAAGGTGTGTCGCGTACCAAAACCAGGTTACTACGACCTTTATTTGATCTTTACTTTGACCTTGATCATATTTCCCTTCCGCTCTATAACTCGGCCCCTAATTGACCTAGCGCTACCAAACTTGGTATACTTACACATCTTGGGGAGAATCTGTGTCGCGTACCAAAACCAGGTCACTGCGGCTTTTATTTGACCTTGACCTTGACCTTGACCTTGATTGTATTTTCCTTCCGCTCTATAATTCGGCCCCTAATTGACCTAGCGCGACCAAACTTGGTATACTTACACATCTTGGGGAGAAGGTGTGTTACGTACCGAAACCAGGTCACTGCAACCTTTATTTGACATTGACCTTGACCTTAACCTTCATCATATTTCCCTTCCGCTCTATAACTCGGCCCCTAATTGACCTAGCGCGACCAAACTTCGTATACTTACACATCTTGGGGAGAACACGGGGGATACATGTAGTTGGCGACAACTACCCTTTCTAGTTATACAATGTCTTTGCTGTTGCATGAGTTGTAAATCACAAGGAAGACTTCAGTTCACATAATTTAACTTCAGGTTCCACTAGTTCCACAGGTTCTATTAGTAGGTATAGATAATGAATTTTAAAATATTTTTGTTTCAGATGTAGTACTGTAGATTCTTAGGGGTCGTTCACAATTATCAACATTTTCACAAGCGTACAAAGCGTACACTTTTTCGAAACCCCCCTCCCCCCTAAAAGTGTCCGAAGAAAAATTATGATTTTTTTCAGACTATAAATTCTACATAGAGAATGAATTACATGCAAAACCGCCATCGTGCCGGTTGTTTACACTGCTCTCGGCTGCCAGCTAGGTTTGTTGAGCGGGCCCGTGCGGGGCGCGGGCCTGCCGGGGCTCGCTGCATCATGGCGTGAGGATGCGCGCGATGCCGGCTGTGGCGCGCGGCGAGGGAAATGGATCGACATTTTTCGGAAATGCTGAAAGCGTACGGCGGGCATTGACCCCCTACCCCCCCCCCCAGCGTACGGTTTGTACGCTTGTGAAAGTGTTGATAATTGTGAACGATCCCTTAATAGTGGTGTATCTTTTGCAGCTTGTTATAAACAATCTGAAGCAGTTTAACTGTGCTGTGATGGGCACGAGGCCCCTGTACCAGGTGGAAACCATCCTGGCCTCACCTGACGTCATTCTACATCCAGCCGTGAATGAAATCTACAAACTGATGATTGGTTGTGTCAGGGATGTAGTCGATGGGCAAGTAGTAAAGTATTATAGTATATTGTATGAGCTTATTGGTCATCCATGTGATAACAATGACAAACAAAGGATTTAGTCATCAAAGTAGGACACGTTTATAAGCTAGATAACCATTCACATGAGAGTAATAGTACACATAATGTGTATTTGTAGCACAAAGCTGTTTATCCGGTGGATGCATGGCTCCTGTATAGAAACTCCTCCACAGAAGGTGGCGAACCAAGATGAGCCAGTTGTGTTCAGCTTCTTCTCTGATATTCCTAACCATCCAGAAGTTTGTGCCCTACTGGTCAGTTTACAAGGTGAGTGCACGGGTCTCAATGTATATGTGTTGCTAATAATATGCTCTGAGTTAAGGATTAGCTGCATATGTTCACCAATCTGCAGTGGGGTATGTAGTCATTCTGTATTTATTAGCTGCTGCAATGCACAGTACTGATGGAGGAATATGGTGAATTGTGGTAGTAACATGACAGTGTTAATTACCACTCATGCTCACTCTCATGTATACCACACTATGCAGTCTACATTGTGCTGTAATTCGCCTGTTTAACACGCCTGGGGTGATGATATAAGTTGTTTCATTCAGAGTGTATTTATTTTGGTTATTAATTCTAATCTTGACCTGTAAACACACTCATGAACTGCTGGTAGCAGGTGCATATTTAGCCATGGTTCTTAATTGTATCCACTTTTGTTGTGTCTCTTGTGAACGAATTATAAAGATATTGTTTACTATAAGGTGATTAATTGTCTTCTTAACATGTATTCTTCAGAATCATAGATGAAGACTGTTGTAACTTTAGACATTTCAAACTGTCACAAGTAAAGCAGCAAATAAAACATTGAACTTTCTTATTAATGATGTTTCCAGAAGTAACTGATATTATTCTTATTCTAAATGGCACAATATATGTATATCTCGATAGCAAATATCCAAAAGGTGTTGGCTGGCCTACAGAGAACACTTGGTTCATGGAAGAAGTATAGGAACCTATGGAAGTATGACAAATCGGAGACGACAGAGAAATGGGCCAATCGAAATCCATCTGTTGTCAGTTATGATGATAAGTTACAGTACTACACTAAGCAAGCAGAGGAGGTAATTAATTTTACTGTGTTGAATTGTTTTCCTGCTAAATGTCGTTATTGAATCTTCCTGAATTTATTTCAGCTATCTATACTGACTACATATATATTACAGTACACCGTATACTGTTATGAGATACTAACTAAATATACTCACCTAAAAAACTCATTGTTTTTATCTAGTATTGTAGTATATGAGCACACTGAGCCATTTATTCTCTGTCTAGCCCCCTTACCTGATTCAACAAAGGTTTTAATAGTATCTAGTGGCAAACTTTGTGTGTGCCAATGTTTATACATGTGTACAAATTAATGTAATATTACAGATTGGCAGCTTACCTGCAGTACGGGATCAGGACTGTGTGAGACTGCACCTGGCACCACTCATTAGTATGGTGCAAGAACATTGCAGGCAGTGGGTGCAGAGTCTTGGAGAACACATGCACATCTCAGCAAAGGACATGCTGATGTTACTCAGGGATGACCTCCAGGTGGGCTACATAAACCTACTCTATCTGTTTTCTGTTTGCAACTGTTACTGTTTTTAATTGACAAATTCGTAAGGAATAGAAAGAAGAAATCATAGAAGCTAATTGAATAGAGAATATATAATTACAGTAAACAATTAATATGTAATATTTAGGTGGATTGTGCTATGATACGTATCGTTTTTAATGTTTTAGTAACTATTTTGTTATTTTTAAAATACAAATTAACGTTGATTGAATTACAATACACAGGCCTTGTTTATTCATCCAGAAATCTGCTGAAGACCTGCAGAAGGTTCCTGCTAGTCTAGACGACCTGAAGTGTGTGCTGAGAGCCATTCAGGATATACGTGATATGTCTCTTATGGTGGAGTCACGCATCGTAGATATACAGGAAAGATACCGCACACTCGCCACATATGATATCGAGGTAAATTGATGTGCTAGCGTTTGTGTTACTAACTTTAAGTTAACTGTTGTTAGGCTTTTGAATAAAAATGTTGGTTGCTGCAGTCGAGAATAAAACACGTTTTTCTTGCATGTCATAATTACATGTCTCACTTGATGATGATGATTGATGATTTATTCAAGTAATATACAAACTTGTTATTGTCTTCAAATCCAATCATTTCGTTCGAAAGTTTGTGAACACAAGAATATCTGAATTGTCTCATTGAGTAACCGAGTTATAAAACTAAAACTAAAAACTTTTTCTTGTGGCTGGATGTTTTGTGTGTGTAGGTACCTAGTGAGGAAGCAGAGCTAGCAGATCACATCCGCAACATATGGGACGAGCTCGTGTACAACTCGAAGCGTGTTGATGCCACCCTGATCTCTGTCAAGAAAAAGTTCACCAATGTAAACCAACCTTGATCTCACTATTTCGTGACACCATATACAATTGGAAAATTATCCATAATAACTTAATTAAGTATAATAAGTGCTTTAAGGTGGTTACGTGTAGTTGTTCGTGGTTGTTGTTCAGGAGACTGACGTAGTCGAACAGTAGAAAATTGACAGTGGAGTATCATTGATGAAAACCAGGATTTATTGGAACTCAAAATGAAGGCAAAAGTAAACACTAAAAGCTAGCTCAGCAGCAGCTTCTCACTGGCAATGATAAAAGCAAGCAGTGCTCACGCTCCCGGGCTGCGTATTTCATTCTCGCGTGCCCACCAGGCGTCTCTGATATGACTACTTGTAGCTGAATAAGGTTTAATAATGCTATACTGTATACATTGAATATACACTTAATTCTATCTCCCCCAAACCAAACGTTGTCTCACTGACGAGACTCGTCCTTGAATGTCGGCTGTTTACCAACTACACATAAAGCGGTAATTATAATTGCTATGGTATTGCGGTGTTGAATCAATCTGCCAAGGTATGTGTACAGTTTTACGAGTAAGTTTGATGGAAATCTATAAAGTAGTTTAAAACATGCTTCTAATTCCCCTGTGTTCTTATTTCATTTTATAGATTACAAAGAGTCAAATTGCTCAGTTTGGAAATGAGTTGGCTGTGTTTGCAGAAAGATTCCATTCTGAAGGACCAGGAGCCGTGGGCCTTGATCTTGATAAAGGTATGATACTTCTTTATTTGAATGGTCTGTTGACATAAAATTACGTGATTCATATAAGTTATAATAGACACATGCACACACACACATGCACAGACATACACATGCACGTGTGAGATGATTTGTTGAAAAGGGTGTTTAGAGAATTGCAGATATTGCCAAATTAAAATGGTAACTCAATACCAGAAGAAGCACATGCTGCATAGCATCATTATACATAGATTTGTTGAAAGAGGTGTTTAGAGAATTGCAGATATTGCCAAATTATAGTGGTAACTCAATACCAGAAGAAGCACATGCTGCATAGCATCATTATACATAGAAATTCTGTTTAGACTTGGTTACGTAAATTGGCACATTGTGGCAGGGATTGATATCGATCCTTAGACATTTACAAGTAGATGGTCACTGCTCAACTGTATGTGCATATCCGTCACCTTTTAAAGATTGCATTTGTAACACAACGTGGGTACATGCCGCACCGTTTTATTGGTACGTAAAGGTGTTGAAATGCTGAAGAGATATAACCAAGAGGTACAGATGTATGAAAACCAGCGTCAGGAACTGGGCAATGCTGAGAAGTTGTTCGACCTGTCAATTACTATGTACCCGGACCTCAACAAGGTGTCAAAGGAGATGACAGGGCTTCAGCTGATCTATGCAGTCTATGAAGAACAGAAGGTACATCTATAATTATCCAGGGATTGTTAGAGATGTGTACTATTTATACCTAAACTTTCTTGTATTCTGTTAATCCTTCAGTTGCCTTTTGTCCTACTAAATGACCTAGGTGTGCTGTGGTGATTGGATGGCAGCTAATGCCCTAATATAATGATCAAATGATTTTAAAAGATGTGCACTGGTATTTATGTGTTTAACGTGTTATTAAAGTGTTTGCTTTTGCCCAAAATTATTTTAATATAATAATAATTATTCTTCAAAAATTGATTGTAATTTAGTGAAATTATACTTCCAGATAGAAGAGAGGGTTTTACTGTAAAAAACTGACAGCTGTGTAATTATTCTATGAATGTGCCTGGCAGCCTGCTAGCATTGTGGATTATTTCTGTTAAAAACGTCATTGAGCTTTATCCAGATGTGGTGGTTTATCCAATATAATGGTGGAGAAATAACATAAAACTGTATTTGCAAACAATTACATGTTTATGAAGTGGTTAATTTATTGTTATTGTGGGCATTTCATAAAAGTATGAGAAATGTTTCTAAATAATGCGTTACTATTGCATGAACACAGAAAACGAGAGAGAGTTGGTCACAGACACTGTGGGCGAATTTGAACATCCAAGTACTCCAGGACGGTATCGAAGCCTTCATCAAGCAGGTGAAACGTCTTCCAAAAGAGGCTAGATATTTGCCAGTTGCCAAGGTTGTTGAAGAGAAGCTAAAAGAATTCAAGGACTCTGTGCCACTGTTTGCCGACCTGAAGCACGAAGCACTCAGGGAACGGTATGTGGGAAGACAATGTTCCAGGAAGATTGTGTTTTATTGTCAATGAGGCAAATCTTTCAAATTAAAATTCCTATTTAAAAATCGTTCAATGGAATCTGGTAGCATTTTAGTTTCTGTGGACTTATATGTACAGGCATTGGAAAGAACTCATGGAGAAAACAGGCAAATCGTTTGACATGAACCCTGACATTTTCACTCTCGATAACCTTTTTGCTATGGAGCTACACAACTTCCAAATGGTCATTCTGGAGATAGTCACAACAGCCTCAAAGGAGCTCAGCATTGAAAAGGTATTGCCTTTCATCACAGTTTCTAGTGAGGCTATATATCTTCTTATTTCTTATGTATGTTCTTCGTTTAAAAGACGGTAGGGTCAGTAAAGGATTACAATCAGGTTCAGTAAGCAACTAGTTTTTTGTAATCATTTTGTTTCCTTAATCATAATTGGTAATTTGACTTTCATGATTAACAGAGTGATGACTTACTACAACTCCTAGTACTGTGTTACCCAGGCTGAAATGCAATCGAGTATTACCTAGACTTGTCAGAGTGCATGGATTTAATAGGCCATGTATTAACTACCTAGGGTGTGAAAGAGGTGACAGAGGTGTGGGACAACATGCGCTTCAATGTGATCAAGTACACTAAGGGAAAGGAGGATCGAGGCTATGTGCTTGGCACGGTGGATGAGGTTCTGCAGATCCTCGATGACAATGCCATGAATCTGCAGAGCATGTCTGCGTCGCGCTTCGTCGGTCCGTTCCTAAACACAGTACAGCAGTGGGAAAAGAGCTTGTCGTTGATAAGTGAGGTTTTAGAGGTAGGAAAACTGATACTGTACGCGATCGCGAATTTAAAAATGCATAATTTAGGCATGTGCACTTTTATAACACATGTTATAGAAAAAAATGCATAATGATGATCTGCATTTAAGTCTTATGGTTGTAATGTCGATGTCCATAACATGACATATGGTATATAAGTGTACACCACGCTGCTTTTTTTGCAGTCCAGCTGCAGCAGTTCTGTTTTCATTTTGTTTACACTTCATTAACACATGAATTATTACACGGCTCACGATGCAGGTGTGGATGGTTGTGCAAAGAAAATGGATGTACCTGGAGAGCATATTCATTGGTGGAGATATTAGAACGCAGCTGCCAGAAGAAGCTAGAAAGTTTGACATCATCGACAAGACATTCAAGAAGGTATGATAGACGTCAGGCATGTTCTGATAATACCCCATATCAATTGTTCTATCTACTATATATATATAGCGATTCAAATATGCATTATCATAGTGAGTTTTAAACAGAATATTGTATTACTCTAATTCCACATGTTTATTGATTTATTTATCTGATTATCCACCGTTAACCAGACACCCAATCTGTTTTCAGCACTGTTCTCCATAAAAGCTTTGACCCATGTAGTAAATTATTGTGGCGTATTCCCTATGCTCACAACACTGAGATCCGTTATATATATGACCGCATTCGATAACAGATCATGTCAGACACGGCGAAGAGACCCAACATTAAGGAGTCGTGTCACGTACCAAACCGTTTGACAGAGCTAGAGGAGCTCAGCATGGGACTGGAGCGCTGTCAGAAAAGCCTTAACGACTATCTCGACTCCAAGCGCAATGCTTTCCCTCGCTTCTTCTTCATCTCTGATGACGAGCTCTTGTCAATTCTTGGCAGCAGTGATCCTCAGTGTGTGCAAGAGCACATGATAAAGGCAAGGTCACACGGTTCAATGCTCATATGCCGTAGCCATCATATTTTCATTGACTGGATGCAAGTAATTGAGTACTTAGTTACAATGACTGCAGCTATGAAAGTATCATCATAAGAAACTCCCAAGCGTCATTTCACCTTTCCAGACAAACCACACATGAATCAAGTGTGGATTGTATGGAACGGTGAAATGACGCTTGGGAGTTTCTTTTGTAGTAACTCTATATAGCATGCTCACCAATCATTTATGGTTTTCTTGTCACCTTAGTAGCAGGGTAAAAAATACATGGGAGCGATGAGCGATTCGCTCTTCAAACCTCCGAAATCGCTCCCGTGAGGCTCAAAATAGCTCCCGTAAAAATTTTGACGAGAGCTATTTTTCCCACAGACTTGAAAAAGAGCTCCCGTGAAAAAAAAAGAAATGTTTCCCCTGCTTAGTAGTTGTAAGTCGTTTACATTTCAATTGTTCATTTGTGGTAGATGTATGACAACATAGCCAGCTTACGCTTCGAGAGAGGCGCGGGCTCAGAGCTAGTCGCCACAGCAGTGGTTTCGGGAGAGGGTGAAGAGATGGTGTTTCGCAAATCGATTCCTGCAGAGGGACGGGTTGAGGACTGGATGACCAACGTTCTGCAAGAGGCATGGCGAACTAACCGCCTGCTCACCAAGGAGGCGATATTCTACTACTGTGACAATGTTTCAAGGTGAACAAACTGGCTTTAGGAACAGCGCACCATAAACGAAATTCGAACATGTCTCCTGACTAAATAATATCATTGGAACCAGTTATACGTAGGTGGTCGTGAGAGATCTCTTCTGACATGCTCTTGCAGAGTAGACTGGATGCTGCGGCACCAGGGCATGGTGTGTCTGGCAGCAAACCAGGTGTGGTGGACCTGGCAAGTAGAAGACGTTTTCAAAAAGGTGAAGCAAGGTGATAAGATGGCCTTGAAGCAATATGCAAGATCATTGCATGGACAGATAAATGATCTAGTCACAAAGGTTAATGTCTATTATTCATACATAAGTGGAAAAGAAATTGCTGTTGCTGTGTTATTTATCTATCTTTAGTTATGACATCCTTAAGTGCATAACTTGTGTATATGTGCCATTAAAGCAATTGACTTAATTGGTATGTGATAAAAAACTGCTGACTCCACGCAAGTGGTTAATTATTTATATGCTTTGTAGATGAATTCAAATGTCATTTATAGAGAGAAGATTGATCATGCTTGAATGGTTTCCATTCAGGAATAAAAAAATAAAAAATAAAAAAAAGTATATAATAAATTTGGGTTGAGCTCAAGTTTGTGCAAAATATTTTTAACTTAGACACATGTACTGACATGTATGGTACTTGTATCAACATAGAGATCATTGCATAATGTGTGATTATGATGTCATTACATGCAGTTGTGATTTGTTATGCAGGTGCGATCGCAATTGACCAGCAATGAGCGTAAGAAGTTCAACTCTGTACTTATCATTGACGTACATGCTAGAGACATCGTAGATGGCTTCGTCAGGGACAGGTAGATGCTTAAACCAAGCTAGTCAGTTGAGCCCATTATCCAGTTGGTGAAAGTTCCCTGTATTGAGTTTTATAATTGGAATAATAACAAAAATGAATACCAACAGTAAGTGTATAAGCTGGGATATGTGAGGTTGTATTTATTATATCAGTTTTGATTATTGTTCACTCTGATAATAGATAAATGATTTGTCTATATAAATGATCTGTGGTAGCTGTGACAAATCGTTGCTTATTGACTTGATCTGTAACAGCATTATGGATGCTGAAGAGTTTGAATGGGAGAGTCAGTTACGCTTCTACTGGCACCGTGAGTTGGACAATCTGATGGTACAGCAATGCTCCGGAGCCTTTGCATATGGGTTTGTTGCGTTTATTTTGCATTACAACTTCAATTTTGCCTTTCATCCTGTATAGTACTCATTATTAGTCATGTTAGTATTCATTTGCTATTAAAATTTATGATGCACACACACGCGTGCACATGCGCACACACGTGTGCGCACACACACACACACGCACACACACACACACACACACACACACACACACACACACACACACACACACACACACACACACGTATGTGTATGTGTATATGTCTGTATATTAATAAAAATAACATTAAACAATTAATTGTTCAAGTTAAATTCGGAAGTTTGTATTGTATAGCTTGCAACATCGTTTGTGATTACTGATATTAATTTTCATGCTTGGTCTGACACGTATTTTCTTCATCTTGTAAAATTAACAATCTGGCAGACCGCTAGCAGGCAGGTTGCTATATATTTTGTGCCAGTATAACTAGGTAAAATTTCATTTTTTTAAATATTTTCCAGCTACGAGTACATGGGATTAAATGGTCGATTGGTCATTACTCCACTGACTGATCGCATCTACCTGACCATAACACAGGCACTGTCCATGCAGCTTGGTGGTGCCCCTGCTGGTCCTGCTGGTACAGGGAAAACAGAGACAACCAAGGACCTGGCAAAAGCTCTAGGATTGCTGTGTGTTGTCACCAACTGTGGGGAAGGGATGGACTACAAGGTGGGCTAATCCTAGCATGAACACTGTTATAGTCAGGGTTCCGTCCACGGTGGGCGGCGGTGGGCGGGTGTGCCCGGCACTCGCGGTTGCCGCCCGGCACTATATATCTCCGCCCGGCACTGGCTTTTAGCACGGCACATCGCTCAGAATGCAGGAAATTGAGTTTCATGCAGACTATCAAAAATCAACAATTTTCAGGGGGGGCATGCCCCCGGACCCCCCTAGATTGGCTTCGCGCCTACGGCGTTTGCATCTTGGGACTTTGTCGCAACTGGATGCGCCCGGCACTAAAAAATCCTGGGCAGAACCCTGTATAGTTATATATCATGTACATGTGTGTTTAGTTTCACCTTTTGTGAAATTTCTAGAAATTTGCTCTAGGCTTTGTTGCAGTTAGTACACATCAATTTGGAGCTATATTCCTAAGGATGACTGCTGCGATGACTATATAGTATCATTCAGAGAGAATTACTTCCTGGATTGTGCATGTTACAAAGTGTATTTATGTGTTCCTAAAAATATTTGTATACCTAAAATAATATATTTTAAACGTATATTATGTTAACTTGCAGTTATATATGTATCGTGATAATGGGTAATATTACAAGGAATGTGTCACAGCTCAAAATATAGCATTGAAGTGGTGATTTCCAGGCATTTGTATCTGCGCGGTATCTTTCTTTTACTTTATCTTTACTGTGCATTTAACGTTTTCACCATGTCTAACACTACAATTTTGTCAACTCATCTTCGTGTTCTGTGTGTGCAGGCAGTAGGTAAGATCTTCTCTGGTCTGGCACAGTGTGGAGCATGGGGGTGCTTTGATGAGTTTAATCGAATCGACGTGTCAGTGCTGTCAGTCATTTCATCACAGTTGAAGACCATCCAGAATGCACTCATAATGAAACTGAAGCGATTTCAGGTATATGTGATTGTCACTAAACATTAGCAATTCATATTTATTTATCTTTAATGTTTTTACATCTGTTTGCCTGTTCAAAGCTTTGCAACATGTAACATATTACTGTACATATCATTTGTGCATTCTCTAATAAAACGTGAATTTGATAAACACAGTGGCATGTGATATATGTATACTAAATGTATGTGTGTGCATGCGTGCGTGCGTGCGTGCGTGTATAAATTATGAACTTAACTAATGAGGAATTATGAAGTCATTTTTAAAACCATGCAACTGCTGATTTCCTTCTTGAGTGTCACCTATGGGTTTTAGGAAGCACTGCAGCTAGGGTTAGGCTAGTGCTGTAATCATTACCCTAACCCTAAAACAAACCTTGAACTATATATCATTAACCTGCACTTAATCACGTGTAGGGCGTGCATTACTGTCTCCTGAACGTTTTATGTGTATCTGTAGTTCGAGGGTCAGGAGATCTCTCTGGATTGTAAGATGGGCATATTCATCACGATGAATCCGGGCTATGCAGGACGCACAGAGCTTCCAGAGAGCGTGAAAGCACTGTTTCGACCGGTTGTCTGTATTGTACCAGACCTGCAGCAAATCTGTGAAATAATGCTCTTCTCTGAGGGCTTTCTTCATGCCAAGGTATACACGCATCTGTTGCATGAAAGGAATGGTCGTCACTCCCAATGTTGAGAGTGTCACTGTTTTACTTCACAGATTGAATGTTGCTTAACAAATTGTCCAAGTCAGCATAATGTAATTCTGTTTAAAATCTGTCTGAGGAGAACGTATGACTGTGGTTATTGTACTTATATCCCGTATGCATTCACAGTTATAAATGTATAGACGTATATTGCACTGGCCTCTCCTTTATTATGGTTATTTAGATGACTCGGTAATATACATATGTACACACCTTCAACTTATAACTCTTCAGGTTCTTGCCAAAAAGATGACCGTGTTGTATAAACTTGCCAAGGAGCAGCTGTCCAAGCAACATCACTATGACTTTGGCCTCCGAGCACTGAAGTCTGTGTTGGTCATGGCAGGAGAGTTAAAGAGAGGTTCTCCCAATCTATCCGAGGTGAAATTCAGAACCCCTGTTGGCATTTTATATATATGTGTGTGTGCGTGCATGCGTGCTTGTGTGCGTGCGTGGTATGCATGGTACGTATGTATGTATATTGTGACAAAATATAATGTTCTGGCTCTATACAGTGTTATCCCAGTGCAAATACAGTAAATTCACTAGGCCATAAGCATATATACATATATAACAGTGATGTATCGGCATGAAATTTGACATTATACTATTGTTTATTGAGATTGTTCGAATCTCAAATAGTTGTTGTTTTGAAATATAATCCAAAATTCAAAGATATAGTTAGTGTCTACATGATGAGCACTAAATGCTGTTCTTTAACGTTCCCAATCACTGGGGATGAGTAGCATCGGTGTATGAGATGATATCAGTACATACGTATAAATGATAAGGGCTGCACTACATATGTGTAATTGAATATAATCAATTTAGGACGTTTTCATAAATTAGACACGGTCACATGCACACAAAACAGGGAAATTTTGCGCAGTTACATGATGAAGCACGTTATCGCTTGTACATTGACTGTTGAAAAGCAAGATATGGTGTGTCTTTCTAGGATGTTGTTCTCATGAGAGCCCTCAGAGATATGAACCTACCCAAGTTCGTGTTTGAGGACGTGCCGCTGTTCCTCGGTCTCATATCGGACCTCTTCCCAGGGCTGGACTGCCCACGTGTTCGCTACCCAGACTTCAATGATGCCGTTGAGGGAGTGCTGCAGGAGAATGACTACATCATTCTTCCTGAACAGGTATATGGCACATGGCCTATCTTGCCGTGAATGACCATATAGAACGTAACATTGATAATGATGATATAACTAAATGTTCGTAATGGCTGTTGCCGTGATGGGTGATACAATTTCACTGTGATTATTGGCCAGCATATTGAAATGTGTTTATTTTGTGTCCATTGTAACAGGTTGATAAGGTGGTTCAGATGTATGAGACAATGCTAACGCGACATACGACCATGGTAGTCGGCCCCACGGGAGGCGGAAAGTCGGTTGTTATCAATGCACTTTCTCAAGCACAAACACGGTATTCATTTGTTTATTAATCAGTTTTTCATCTTGATGATTTTGTTATTATTGCATGTATAGATTTTTTAACACTCATTGTCATTTCATAAAATGAAATGAAATGAAATGCTGTAATTCTCACTGGCCTAATGATGAAATATATATCCCTTGGATGCAGGAGATACTACTGCATGGTTTCATAACACACAGTAACACACAGTTCAAAACACGAATTCCAGGCTATATGCTCTGTACCCTTTTTATTGTCTCTGTTGTTTTGCTTGTTTTCATTCTAGAAAAATGCATCTTGCATTTTTTACATTTGCTGTCAAGTTGAATGTATGTTTGAAAGCACTATATCAGCTGATTTCAACAGCCATACATGTTTTCCAGGCTTGGTTTGCATACAAAGCTATTTGTGCTGAATCCAAAAGCTATGAGTGTGGTTGAGCTGTATGGTATCCTGGATCCTACTACTCGAGACTGGACAGACGGACTGTTGTCTAGTATTTTCCGTGACATCAATCGGCCAACTGACAAGAATGAACGCAAGTAAGGATGACTTTACTTATAAATGTTAGAAAAGACTACTAGCTAAAATTACCATGGTATTACGTTAAGCAACTTTCAAGCAAAGGAAACTACATACAGTATAAATAAGGGGCTAATGTTATTTTGAAGAGGGAAGAATTCTGATTAATTAATCCACGTTAGACTTGCATTTAAAATAGAGTAATTTTCATTAAACTGTAGAATTGTACCTCCATTCTGCCGTTATACACCCCTTGATCCTTCCCACACAACTCTTCATGTTATTGCTAATAAACAGATACTAAGGTAATATATTATTTTTAAGTCAGTCAACGAGGTAATGCATGTATCATTTAATATGTATATATATATATATACATATGCTTGTGTTGTTAACAAGGTACATCGTGTTCGATGGCGACGTGGACGCTCTCTGGGTGGAAAACATGAATTCTGTGATGGACGACAACCGACTATTGACATTGGCCAATGGGGAGCGAATCCGTCTACAAAAACACTGTGCAATGCTCTTCGAGGTTAGACAATAGTTCTTCATTATTTATGTTTAACATTTGTGTCATGCATGACACGAGTGCATCACATTTGAGACATGGTCAAGATGCACAAAGGAAAACCAAGAGCTGGAGAATTGAGCATCTAAATTTCCTCCCGCTTCACATATAGTGTACATGTATGGTGTACGCGTAAATAATTATGGTAGAAGAACCAGCAGTAATAGTCAGTTAATCAATATCAGTACTTAGACAATTACTCTTGCATTACTGCATTTGTTGTCGTTCTTCAGTATGAATAATAATAATATAATAACTGTAATGTATATATCAGAGAAGGATTTATCCCCCTCATTTGCAGGTGGCAGACCTGCAATATGCGTCACCGGCAACAGTCTCCCGTTGTGGAATGGTGTATGTTGACCCAAAGAACCTAGGATACAGACCTCACTGGCAGAAATGGATAAATGCAAGGTACGTAATCCTCAATGTTAGTATCCCTCTTAGAACAAAACTGCAGGGATTAGATTCAAATGTCAATTATTTGTTTAGTAAAAGTTATCATTAAAAGTCACAGTAAAAGTAAAATTTGTAGTAACTGTTGTTCAAATCTATGTAATACACCAACAGATTTTGAATATTTGATATTTTTTATGAAACAAACAATAGCAATATGTCTATATGTGTATTTCTCAATAATTAGGTCATTAAATTTATTATGAAGAAGAAGACAGTGTTGTGTTGAGATGTTTGGAAACGACTTGAGTATCTTGCATGTGTGATTATCACAGTGCATCATCACACATTAATTAAAACAACCAGCCCAATATGACGTTATTAACAGTTATAATTGAAAATTGTACATTTCCGTCATATTCAATTAACACTTATAATTATAACACTATAAATTATAGGTCAAGCAAAATCGAGCAAGATGAGTTGGGCAAGTTGTTTGAAAAGTATGTGCCATCATGCATAGACATGATTCTAGATGGTATCGTTGATGGTCGTCAGGGTGACAAGATGAAGACCATTGTTCCTCTTAGCAACCTCAACATGGCAAGTAGTGCAAATGGAAAAACAATTGTTAATCAAATTATTCATTTATTCACTAGTGTTGTATGATAGACAGTGTTATGATATATATCTTTATGCGCATGTAGATGCAGAACGATGGGTTATTTTTAGCAGTTATATGTGCTTCACGAAGTAGGATTTAACTACAGCACACATTTTTACTCTTCGCTGGTCATAACCCTATTATTAATTGATGTGCTGGACAACCATGGCAACATTACTGAACCCCAAGTTGCTATCAGGGGTTTGTCTGGGTAATGGTATCTAGTTCCTGATGTAGCACACGGAATGAGCAAGCAGTTGCATGGCAACTTGCTTAGTCATTGAGTTGTAATGGCCAGGGCTTACTCAAGGGCCACTTCAATTACTTAATAAGGTACAGTTTTGATAAAAAGTGTCAGTCATTGTGAAAGATATACATAACAATTGTGAAAGCAAAGTAAATATCACCTTTTAAATTTGAATCACCTTCATTAATTATGATCATTAATGGGCCCAGCCCCATAGTCAGATTAAAATCTGGCCTACATAAAACCTGACTATTGAAAGGGTTAGTGCTTGCTGTCTATTGCTAAACCTTCATGTAATGCCTGCTGTCTGCAGTATGTCAGGACTTTTGGCAGATGAATTCACTGAAGTTTACCCAATTATCACCATTCTATTAGCACTGCATGACTATCTTTTCTAACAAAGCTCAGGGGAATATCACTGCCATAGTGAGGCAGTTTGATTGGCATCTATTATTTATTATAATTATATAATTATAGTTATCTATTCGTGTATTAATTTATTTGTTATATGGCTGTAATACAGTATTGTAATTGGAGCACGTCATATCATGTATCACATGAAATAAAGTCATAAGTTGAATGTGTATCTTAAATTAAATGGCTTTCACAATGAGCGCCAAAAGCATGTCTGAACAGTTGCAGAAGGAAATTATGTCAGATCCAGTAAAACGTAATGATCAGATAGTAAAACACTTATATTTAGTATAGATTTTGATTATTAAAACTTGGGGTAAGCTCAGGCTAGTGTGTGGAGTTGTTCTTGTTCTCTTGATGGAATGTCACATCACTCAGTCAGTGCCCTAGTAACAATATTATTTACTCATAATTTTACATATAACGAAAAAATTATTGTCTGGTTGTCTGAGCCACATGTTTTGAGGACCTCTTATACCAATGTTATTCCAGATTGGGAACGATAATGTTCTTTGTTTATAAAACTCCACGTTCCTTTTACAACCATGCAATAATTATGTGTGTGTGCGCGTGTGGATTAGGTAATAGATCATACAAATTTAGATGATTATTATTTGTATGCGTTTAGGTCACTCAGCTCTGCTACATGCTTGACTCTCTGCTGACAACGGATATTAATAGTCCTAACCTATTGGAGTGCTTCTTTCTGCAATCACTTTACTGGTCACTGGGAGCAGGGCTACTTCAAGATGGGAGGAAGAAATTTGATGCGCACGTGAAGCGACTCTGCAGCCTTCCTACTGTCACTGACGATGGCAAGATTGTAGCCGGAGTCGGTATGCGCAATTTATAATTCAATTATAATTAAAATTGTATGTTGTCCCGTGTTCTTGCAAGATACCTTAAATACGTATTTGTCTAGTAAAATAGTTATGTATATATTTATAGACAGTATACAACACTAAATATACTCCCAATTGAAACTTGTATAACTATTTCGTCATTAATTCCAGACATCTTACATTTATATTTATATATGTCACTATCACTGATTATTATCAATTAAGTTAATATACGATTTAATTGATTAAATTATGTTTTAGGTGAAATACCAACTGGCCAGCCAACGCTGTTTGAATACTATTTTGATGGTGAATTGCGCAAATGGATTCCATGGATAAGCAAAGTTCCAGAGTATATACACGATCCAGAGGTTAGATGTTACAAACCACTATTACTATATTGGGATGGTAAATAATTGTTCATTTGATGTATCGATATAATAGCTGGCTGTTTAAATGTTAAGAGATATAAGTTTATTATATTGCATATGTGAGCCATCACCACAAAATGAGTCGTAATGTCCAAAATTGACTTTTTGACATTTTACACATTAGGCAATAAGGAAATATCAGCTTTAAAATGCCATGGTTGTCAAAATGAAGGAATATTTAATGAAAATGTGACATAAAATATATCTCCTTATTCGGGAATGTATTACCTAGACTTATTGAGAAAACTTCATTTAAAAGTTAAGATACTTTCCAGCATCAAAAGTTCTTAGCATGATCGCCATTGGTATCATGATTCGCTTGGTCTGTCCGTTTGTATCGAGGTGCCTCTACCGTAGCTAGAATTGATTCGGGACCATAGATGGTCACCCATATACAGCACTGAGGCTTTCATATCGTCAATTCAGATGAAGTTTTGTAAGATCTTGGTGCCGACGGTGGATACGGTGCGTAGTACATGGCTGCTGCGTACCATGGCAAGGGTGCGGCGACCAGTCGTACTCGTAGGAGAGACCGGCACCTCCAAGACGGCAACCACGCAGCACTTCCTGCGACAGGTCGACCCTGAGAGCACGGTGAGTGCTGCATGTGTCATCTCTGCCTCAGTTACAGAGGTGGCGCCACTAATATGAATTCTGACTGAACTTGTCATATCTGGTAATGCACACGGTAAACGACAGCATATTGTACATGCCAGAGAACATTGTACATAACAGAGCATATTGTACATGGCAGCATATTGTACATGACAGCATGTTGTACATGCCAGAGAATATTGTACATGACAGAGCATATTGTACATGACAGAGCATATTGTACATGACAGAATATTGTACATGCCTGAGCATGTCATACATGACAAAAAATGTAAAGCACTTTACATAGCTTATCATATTATGTTACAGAGTATGTAAATGTGTTACACAGTCTGTTGTAAATGACAAGAGTATGTAAACATGATGGAGCATATTGTACATAACAGAGAACATTACAAGATTGTACATAACAGTGTATGTAGGACATGTTACAGGACATATTGTACGTTAAATAATATCTATGTAGGACATGACAGGCCATGGAGAACGTTACAGAGCATGTGAAATGTGAAAAAAACATGTAAGAACTGAACAGCTGAGCTATATAATGTGTAGCAACGAGAACATTGTAGGTTGTTATACAAGCTATTGTGCTTCATTCTGTAATTAACTATTGCAAACCTGCTCATCAGACTACATCGTTCTTTTCAGCTTGTACTCAACGTAAACTTTTCGTCACGGACCTCGTCCATGGATGTGCAGCGTGCCTTGGAGGCAAGCGTCGAAAAACGCACCAAAGACACCTACGGGCCACCACCAGGCAAGCGTCTGCTCATCTTTGTGGACGACATGAACATGCCACAGGTATGTGAGCAACGTCTGCACTCGAAACGATGCTTTATATGGTTAATTATCTTCTATGGTAATGTGGCTGGTCATGTACACTAATGTGGCATCGTATAAAATGAATATATCTTAAAACTTATACTACTGATAAATGGTATTTAAAATGTATGTTGAAGATAAAACAACATTAACTGATTATGTTGATTAACTGACGATTTAACTTGCACGATATTTTTCACGTTTCTGTGCTTGTAGGTAGATCAGTATGGCACTCAGCAGCCAATTGCTTTGCTAAAGTTGCTGCTTGAAAGAGGAGGAATGTATGACAGAGGAAAAGATCTCAACTGGAAATACATCAAGGACATTGGTTGTCTTGCAGCCATGGGCAAGGTTAGCATTGGTTTTTATTTTGTAGTCATCATTTAGTAGTGCCATCAATGTTGCTCATTACAAGTCACAGCTCCATTGCAGAGATTTCCTAATGCGCACTTCATGAAATTGGCAAATCAGTAGTGCTTTTATGTTAAGTAATTAGATACTGCACTCCTGTGTCTAATTTACTTTCAACAGATTCTTTTGGGCGGGGATTTATGTAAATGCCATGATCTTTGATGCTTTGTTGTTGAAGGGTATATCTTTCTCTGGCATATAACTATTTTTACGTTGACGTATTGCTGTCATGTAGGCTGGCGGAGGGCGTAATGAGGTCGATCCACGCTTCATCTCCCTGTTCACGGTGTTCAACATCACATTCCCAACTGATGAGACACTCTATCACATTTACTACTCTATTCTCAATGGTCACACTGATGGCTTTTCGGAGGAAATCAGGTATGAGATGGAATACTCATGGCCATTGCGAAGTATTGACGTATCCGCCTGGTTAACAAGCAGTTTTATCCAGTATTCTAATTATTCTTGTCTTTGTTTTATGCGTATATATTATTGTGGTTTAAACGTGTTTTGTCAGTTTGTTACATAACATTTTAATTTTTGTACTGCGAACTCCCTCATTTTGTTGTGGATTTTAAGAGCAGTGGACTCCCTTGATCAAAGGTTAATTTCTACCCCTGATACCTACATTTAAATTGATTTGACATTTTATTATGCTATTTCACTGTGTAGAGCTGTGGTTGGAAATATCACCAAAATGACATTGGCGTTATACCAGAAAGTTATTCAGGATTTACCACCAACACCAAACAAGTTTCATTACATATTCAACTTGAGAGATCTGTCTAGAATATACAATGGTCTATGTCTCACCATTCCAGACAGGTATGACTTTAATTATGTAATGTATTTAATTATTAATGTTATCCTAGGTGTTTTAGGATGCGGTAATCATCTACAGCACATAAAAACTTAAAATGTGGTTGCATATAGCTATCAAATTCATAACATGTTTGTACATATGAGTTTATTTAAAAATTCTTTGAATTTATAATAATAAAATGTTTTGAGTAACTTGAAACTTAATTCCCTTCTAATGGACGATCAATCTTTTAGGTACCAGCAGGTGGAACAGTTCGTGCGTGTGTGGAGGAACGAGTGCATGCGCATTATCTATGATAGGCTGATAAACGAACAGGACAAAGACCACTTTCACGTATGTATGGGGTTCTGAAAACACCTAACAATTGGGTTGTAAACAATTTCCCATATTGTTATGATAATGGTATACTGTATTCCTTAGTTTTAAGCCACACATTAACATTATGAGCCATGTGCTATAACTGACTTCTTGAACGTACATATATATAGAAGACAATAATTTCATCTGTATATCTGTCTGTCTGTCTGTCTGTCTGTCTGTCTGTCTGTCGGTCTGTCTGTCTGTCGGTCTGTCTGTCTGTCTATCTTTCTGTCTATGGGTCTGTCTTCCGGTTATCTCTCAGTCTCCCTCACCCACTCCCTCCTCTCTTTCTCTCTCTCCATATATATCATATATGAACATATAAATGTAAAATTTATATTATATTCATATATGCTGGTTTGTATAGAAAGTGTTTTTTCAGCCACGCTTTGCTTATGAGTTATGGTTATAATTAAAATATATATACAATATATTAAAAATAAATAACTCACTGCAGCGGTTGCTCAGTGAGCTAGCAGAAGAAAACTACCCTACGAAAGCAGAGTATGTGCTCCGTGATCCTCTACTGTTTGGAGACTACCGCGCATTCCTGGCAGAGGGAGAACCTAGGATATACGAGGACGTTCAAGACTATGATGCAGCCAAGGCCCTATTTACTGAGGTATAACTATCACAAACTAGTTATGTAAATGTTTTGTTCTGAAACACTTAAATGCTACTATGTATCGGTATATATAGTATGGGTATATATCAAGAGTACATAATAGAGATGTATGTATGTACTATTATGTACTCTTGGTATATATGTATATAGTTGCTTATATAAGTGCGATATAAGAAAAAAAGTGAAAATCTTCCCTGATATTCCAGTGGTTGATATATTAACAGTAACGAGTGCTGAGGTGTTATGAGTTCAGTAATAGCTGCATTGCGGTCGCACTTCGTGCAGATCTTGGAGGAATACAATCAGCACAATACTGTGATGAATCTCGTCCTGTTTGATGATGCACTGGAACACCTGACTCGCATTCACCGTGTGATTCGCATGGACCAAGGCCACGCCCTACTGGTGGGCGTCGGGGGCAGTGGCAAGCAGAGTCTCTGCCGGTTGGCTGCTTTCGCTGCACAGTGTGAGGTAATTAATTCACATCAATATTACCGTATATGATCGCGTAATAACTGCAAATTTGGCCTCAGATTTCAACCCTGTATTTGCTCTGCGGTTTATAAGTGCGTCATACCGTGAGGGGAAATATACTAGGCGCAATACTTGGTTACCCGATTCAAATTGAGGTGCGGCTTATAGGCGCCCGCGGTTATTACGCGATCATATAGGTTAGGTGTGTTTTTAATCATCTAAATTGAATGTCGTTATATTATGTCATTAAATATTCATGTTATGGAACTACATAATATGCAGTGATCAGAATATAGCAGAAGTGCATACGGTTATAAAATATGTAAATAATTAATATTATTATATACTCTTGTAGCAGGCAGAAGGTCATGCATTCGTTGTTATGCATCTGTTAACAAAACATTCTTAACACTAATTAATTGCTTATACTGATTTCTGACTGCCTCACAGGTGTTTGAGATTACACTAAGCCGTGGCTACAATGAGAGCAACTTCAGGGATGATCTCAAAGTATTGTATAATAAACTTGGCCTGGAAAACACAAAAACGGTCTTTCTGTTCACAGATGCTCATGTCGCAGAAGAAGGTAAGTGGTATACGATATAATACCTGATAACACATTCGGCATTTTAATCCAATTTATAGCTCGTCTGACATATTCAGATAGATCTTGTGCAATGGAAAACGCATCCCTCCTTTTATCAACAATATGGGCACAAATCTAAACAGCTTGATGTATGGTGCTGATAATCGGGGAGTGAGAGTGCAATTCGAAGTAACAACAAGCAGCAGCAGCAAATGTTGTGTGAATGCTAAGCTAATTAGCTTGTCACGAAATCATGATAACGAAATCACAAAATCACGAAATAATAGAGCGCTGCCATATTTGTTCTGGCTTACACTTGCACCAGTCTTCCCGCAGCAGGCCATTGACATAATTGAGTGTACAATAATATGCTAACATAGAGCTCTTAATGTTCCAATAGCATCCGTTATTTTTACTCCTAATTAATTACCTACTTCAACATACGTACCTTCTTCTTTCTCTACAAACCTATTTGCATATATATCATGTTTAATATGAAGTATGAAGATATTAGAATATGTGAAATGTGTTGTGTTAATTATACCTCCGAATCTACAATAATTATTGTACTATATAGTATATTGAGTATAATACTGGCTGATTTCTTCTTACATAAAAGGCTTTCTGGAGCTGATCAACAACATGTTGACGTCAGGAATGGTTCCGGCATTATTTCCTGATGATGAGAAAGAAGCAATTATTAATCAGGTGCCTTTTCATATGTGGATAGGTTTTGTCAATAGGTGCAATGACTATACCTTATGATTATATCTTCCGAATTGGTGCTGTACCTGTGTCCTGTTTCAGACCTCGTTTAACAAAGCCTCATTTAATGGATTTTGATTTAACAGACAAGAACAATTCTTTTAATAGACACGTACTGCATGATAGCATGAAAGTATATATAATCAAGAGCGTATAACGGTGAAATGCTGAAACCATGTTGCAGTATTAATCGAATTAAGAAACTGCTCGTTTTATTTTGACGATTCTTTGTGGTATTATTGATCAGCTGTCCTACCTTGCTAATATAAAACAAACCGCTTGTCCCTATATACGATGCCCCTATGCTGAGATTAATGAGCGGTGGAAATCTGGTATTTTTGCCGAAAAACCGACTCGAGATCCCTGTTTGCTGGCGACCCTCTCTCGCTTTGTGGCCAGTGTGTTCTTCCGGCGTGCTGTGTAGCGCCATGGCTAGCGCTGACTCATTACGTCAGGTACTACAGAATTTACTACATCCAGCGTGAGGTGCCACAGGTAGGGGTCATCACTATGGCAATCAATAACAGACGTCATTCATTCCATTTGTCAATCATGAGCGAAACACGCGAGGTTTCCCGAAGTTATCTCAAAGCGAGAGACAGTCGCAGTCAGCAGTAGGGGCATCGTAGGGTCACATGCAGTTTGTTTTATATTAACAAGGTAGGACAGCTGATCAATAGTACTGCAAAGAATCGTCAAAATAAAACGGGAAAGTTTATTAATTAGACTAATACTGCAACATGGTTTCAGCATTTCACCGTTGTACGCTCTCCTTCTTTATACGCTCTTGATATAATATATATAGTATATAATATATAATACTCTGAACATGTAAATGCTACTATGCCATTGCTTGAGGCAACGATGCAATTTCATATTTTCAAAGTAGGACTGCAAACTTTCAAAGTAGTAGATGGTGTGTCATGTCCGTGTAATGACCTTATATAATGGATTGGTCAATGAGCTAATAACCTTCAGGAAGATATGTTGTCTGCTGATTATTATAAGATCATTATGACTATCAGTCCCCGTTTCTTTTTCTCTTTATACATCCCTGTAATAGAAAGTGACCAGAGAGTGCTCATGTTGTGATCAATATTATTACAGGTTCGCAACGAAGCCATGAAAGCTGGCTGCGGTATCTCACGGGAAAACATCTGGCAGTACTTTGTGAAGAAATGCTCAAGTAACCTACACGTAGTGCTGGCGATGTCGCCTGTAGGCGAGCAGCTACGCACACGCTGTCGCGACTTCCCCGGTCTCGTCAACGGTTGCAGCATAGACTGGTTCATGGCGTGGCCAGAGCAGGCTCTCTATGCTGTCGCCAGCGTGTTCCTGACCGAGGTAAGTCCTACTTTGTTAGTCTCGTGGACACTAAACTCACATGCTACAAAGTATGTGCAGGATCCTGATGGTACCATTTGTTTGCAAACACGTTTTTTACAAACACATCTTAGTACTTCTTTACACGTCTTTTATTTTCATTGGTGTTCGTGTCTCTGGAAACTTTTTTTCGTTTGAACTTTTTATCATCGAACAAACTTTCTTTTTTTTTTCAATCATGTCTTTTTAAAGGCTCCGTATTGCGTCGCCTGTTCGCTTTGAGCTGTTATATAATTGTTTGCGGCGCAGTGTAGTGAAGAAGCTGCATGGTGTGCAGACGCATACCTCTGTGACAATAGTATATTCTCTTTATCTATTGTGGGAGACACTAATTTGCAACAGTGACGAGTGAATGCGTGTTTACCATTGTGTGTGTCCATGTATATAGAGATATGTAATTATATGGCTATTTTGCCAGGACATTACATCATTTGATATTTGATGGTAGAGTCAATCCTGTGCCAATATAGTCCCCTCTATTGAATGGCTCATCAATCATGTCAACCATAAAATATTTCTCCACTGAAAAATCTTGTGTAGTAGATCTTGTACAGGGACTAAAAATAGCCCCGACCACCGGCCTGTATGGAAAGGCCACATTTTTATTAAAGTCACTTGACAGTTTTCTTTAGTGACCTGTTTATACAGGTCTGACTGTACAACTAACTAAGAGGTTATACTGCCAACAGAACGACAAGATACCACAGAAGCTCCGTGAAGCTGTCGTCAGTCATGTGGTCACCGTGCATCAGCTGGTGGGCAACTACAGCCAGAAGTTCCTGCAGAAACTGCGCAGGAACAACTATGTGACGCCGAAGAACTACTTGGACTTCATCAACAGCTATGTACGACTTCTAGAGGAGAAGGATGCCTTTATCTTAGCTCAAGTGAGTCTTACGCAGTCCCGACCTGAATTATATCTTTGTGAAACTCTCCCATTGTCAGCAAACTTTGCACATGTACTCGCTTTTTTGTCTACCCGTAATTTTATGTCCATCAAGTTGTCCATAAAATGTCCGTAACTGTCACTTCATAGTGCTAGCTGCCATACAGTACTTCATACACACAGTATCAGAAATCAGTTGGCTTGACAATCAATCGCAGTGCTAAGAGTGTCAATTGCGATTTCAGTGCCAGCGGCTTGCCAGTGGCATGACGAAGATTGCCGAGGCTAGTGAGCAGTTGAACGACCTTAACGACAAGCTGGCCGTGCAGAAGGTGGCCGTGGAGGAGAAGACAATTGCCTGCGAGTCACTCTTGCAAGAAATCTCTGACGGCACACAGAAAGGCACCGAGAAAAAGCAGCTTGCCGAAGCCAAGGGCAAGGAAATTGTGGTGCAGACAAAGGTCATCACTGTTGAGAAGGTATTTATATATTTCTCGATGAAGAGTTATTGTTAGGATTGGGTATGATGGTAATTGATTGCCTTGATGGTAATTCCTGTTGTTAGTGAGCCTAATATCATGACTGTTTCCTAGTTCTACCAATGCTAGCAATACTATTTCGTAGTGAGGGGGTCTCTCCCCCTATTCTGATACCATTATCATATTATATATATATTATTATAAGTGCACCATGTTAGTGATTATGAGTATCTCTTATTAAGATCTTAATAGTATGTGCAGTCTGAACATTTTGAGAATCAGTAAATCTGGCTACCAAGTTTGTGGACGTTTACGTAATAAGTCATTACCGCGCGTAGTAGTAGTGTGACAGGGCACACATACTTATGTATAATGAGTCTTTATTACGCAGAGAAATGCAGAAGATGCTTTGGCTGCAGCACTACCAGCTTTAGAAGCAGCTAGGATTGCTCTAGAGGACCTTGACAAGTCAGATGTCACAGAGATCAGGCATGTTTTCAATATTCATATCTCCTTTCCTAATATTCCTTTACAACTTTCCATTACCCTAGCAAATCTATAAGAGAGACATGACATATTTATTGTAACACAATTTTAAGCTATATATATGGTCTTGGCTGTTTTTTTTTCTTCTAAGAAATGTGTTATCTGAATAATTGTAGGTCTTTTGCAAAGCCTCCAAAAGCAGTGCAGACGGTGTGTGAATGCATTGTGGTGATGCGTGGCAGTAAGGATATCAGCTGGAAGTCTGCCAAAGCAATGATGTCAGAAGCGAACTTCCTCAAATCTCTAATGGAAATGGATGTAGATGCCATCACCACAGTATGTAACGTAGAATTAAAGTTGTTATTACATATGAATAAGTGTGATTCGATATACTAGATGGATTGGAAAAGGTTATTGGAAGAAGTCCATGTAAATTAGTTTTTTATCAGGTCATGTTGGTTATGTGACATTCCCACTTGAATCTGTCCAGCAATTTTGGATGTTTTCCCTTATTTTTACCATGTATACATATTCTCAAATTACTTTTCCATCTGAGCTAGAAGACCATGCCTCTTGAATATTGCTGCAAGGTCGGTTAAGTTATTCATTGTGTATATTTTTCATGTGTACATGCCAAATTGTCGATTTTATGATACTTCGGTGCTAAGCATTGTGTTTAGAACGGCCTCTCAACAATGATTGGGTAGAGCTCAGTTTAGAGTTCAGGCAGATAGATCATTTAAGCTCATCTGAATATGTGTTTTTCTATTTTCTTACTTTAGAGCCAAACAAAGACGATAAAGAACTTGTTAGGCACGATGGAAGCCACACTGGAGGATATGAAGAGCATCAGCAGAGCAGGGGCCGGCCTGTTGAAATTTGTTGAAGCTGTCATGGGCTATTGTGCTGTCAACAAGGAGATTAAACCCAAGAGAGAGAAGGTTGGTTATGCATTGTCAGGTCATAGACATAAAAAGTCATATAATATGATATTATATATTAAGTCATGATGTTAATATGATATCATATATTAAGTATTATTCTATGTTAATTTTGTCTTCGTGAAACACTAGGTTGCAAGGCTGGAGAAGGAGTTTCATCAGAGTAAACGTGAGCTGGACAGGATCAACAAGGAGGTGGCCGCGCTAGAATCAGATCTGGGCCTGCTCGGGCAGAAGTACGAGGAGGCGATGATGGAGCGCCAGAACCTGGAGGAGGAGACGGCGCTCATGATGCGGCGTCTCGTCGCTGCCGACAAGCTCATCGGCGGGCTGAGCTCAGAGAATGAAAGGTAGAGCGTGCGACAGTGATGTGAGTGCTGGCCAGCAGCTATAGGCTCATGTGCATGCGAAGCTTAGATAATCAAATGTGTCGAATCAGTATGTTGTGAGTGTGAAGCAACAGACAAGCTTATCAGTTGCCCAGGCTTGAGAAGAAAATGAGAGCAACAGTGGTGTGAGTGCACAGCAAAATATAGTCTTATGTGCCTGTGAAGCGCACAGAATCAGTGTGGCAATAGTGTGCAGGCTAGGCGGCAGAGAAAAAGTAAGGTGGAGGCTACAGACCAGCTTATTAGTGTGATAAACGTACCTATAGTTATATGGTCGGGCGTCGCATGTTTTCTGTGAGACTAATGTAAAGTGTAGGAACAGTGTTGCTCCTACATGGTGTTGGTTGGTAAAGCGTTCAGATGCAATGTACATGCGTCCATTCTCTCCGCATTCGCTCCGTATTCCGCCATAGTCGCTGCATGAACTTCTGCCGTTCGTGATCGAGTTTCATTTGTTTTCGATGTGTCTACTTCGTCTAGGTGGGCTGATGACCTTGAGGAGCTGAAGCAGCAGAGGATCCGCCTGCTAGGTGACTGCTTGCTGGCTGCTGCCTTCCTTAGTTACCTTGGAGCTTTCAACTGGGACTTCCGTAACCAGTTGCTGTTCGATGAGTGGAAGATGGATGTAGTGAGCAGGGACATCCCGCTGAGTGAACCATACAAGCTAGAAGCTCTTGTCACTGACGATGTTGAGATCAGCAGGTATTCGTGGAGTGACAGCTGAGGTCCAGGGGCCCAAACAAAATTAGTCTTAACATTAATAATTAATTTCTCTTAGACCATTGACATCACTTTGTTTCTTATTGTTATGAGGAAATCTGCTACGAGTTTTCATTCTCGTAACTTCGCAGCATTTCTGTTAACGGTCTAAGAGAAAAAGTTAATGTTAAGACTAATGTTAAGACCAATTTTGTTTCTGACAACGGGCCCCAGCTTGTTAATGATGTTTTAAAAACGTATTGAAGTGATAATTCTTTTCTGCTGAGTACAGTAATGATAATGCTTTTCATGGGATCACGGTGAATGATGACTGCATGCATAGCTAACTATAGGCAACAACATACATACAACACGTGCAACTGTACATGCACAACAACCAACATACCACTCACAACTTACAATAGCATTATCATCATCGCCGTCAACCACGACAACAACAACAACAACATACAACAACATAAAATATGCAGCATACAAGCGATTACCTAGTAAGCTGTCAATTTGCGCACACACATTGAAGTCACAAAAGTAACACGGGCTACATACTTGGTATGTCGATGCAGATAGTTAATTCTATGTCATCATTGCTTAGGTGGACGTCAGAAGGCTTGCCACCAGATGAACTGTCCATCCAGAATGGAATCTTGACGACACGGTCCAGCCGCTTCCCGCTGTGCATCGATCCACAGCAGCAGGCACTCAACTGGATCCGGAAACGAGAGGAGCCCAACAACCTGAAGGTGCCGTGTAGGAACAACAGGGTGCATGGTTCTCAGTTTGAACAGCGTATAAATGCTAACAGGTTTAAGGGGTTTTGGTAAATGCACGCGTGTGCATTTATACACACGTGGATGAGTGGTTGTAGAGGAGTGAATGTGTGCATGTGTGTGTGCGTGCGTGGGTGGGTGCGTGCGTGGGTGGATGGGAGCATGCGTGCATGTGTGTATGTCTGTCTACATGCCGACACTTGTGCTTGCATGTGTCTCTATGCGAATATGCCTGTATGTTTTCCTGTGTACATCTGTATGCAATCATGCATACGTGCGTGCGTACGCACATGCTTGCGTGCACCTTTGTACAAGCAAATGTGCTCCCATGCACTGTGCATGTATGCACATGTTGCATTAAGTTTTGTTCAGCGTTTGATAATTCTCATTTTCAGGTCTGCACATTCAGTGACCCTGACTTCATCAAACAGTTGGAGCTGGCTATCAAGTATGGCTTCCCATTTCTGTTCAAGGACGTTGATGAATACATTGACCCTGTCATTGATAATGTACTAGAGAAAAACATCAAAGGTAAAATCCAGTTTCAACACCTTGTTTATTGCAGATTTTAGACTGATTTCTACATGATGGCTGCATACCAAAAACATGGATGATAGGGGAATACTGATTAGTTGTATATAACCATCCTGTTGTCACATGATAACAAAGCATTACTACTTTTGTTTGCATATTTATTTGAGTTTTATATATTGCTCTGTTCGTGTTTGTGGTATTTTTTACATTTTAAATAACTGAAATTATGCGTCTTGAAGTGGTATCATGATATAAAAGTAAATGTTACAGTCAGATAATGATGTCAGTGTCACTTTACTCACTTATGTATAGTTATATGTTGAAGAAAACCCCCCGTTTCAATTGCAATGCACGTATTGACGAATTAAGTATCCTGCTAAATTCTTTACCATAAAGAATGCTAATGCTAATGTACTAGCATAAACCTATGTATACTAGGTGTACTGGTATACATGAAGTTCTTAGGAGTAGGGGTACGACACACTGATGCAATGTTGATCCCTTTGCTTTTATAATTGCGCAGACATTTATGTAGTTTCTGTTCAGTTGAGCTGCGTGGAATGAGAGGTATGGTGGTCTCTATTGACCAGATGAAGCCAGGTACAAACATGCTTATAAAAAGTTGTGAAAAATTGTGAAATATATGCACACCCTGGTTACTTTCACACAGTTCTAATGAATTTTGGATGCACACAGATGCACAAACTTTATTCTGTCTCTCAATCACTAAGTCATGCAAGCATGATACATTTCAATATATTCACAAATATCATCTTGCACATGAGTGAACACTGCATGATGCATGTTAATAAGATCATGCGTATCATAATAGAGAAATTATATGTTGTCTTTCTGCCTTTTGTCTGTCTGTTGTGTTAGGTACTCTTGATAACATGGTTATATGTTTATGCACAACTAAAACATAACATCTTATATTAATGATATAATTAATGATAATATCGATTTAACATTTTTATATTATTTTCTTTTTTATTTATTATTCTCACGGCCTTAATCGGAAGCCTCGTTATAAAGTAAGATTATTGCCTGTTGTCTGCACAGGTCTGTGTGATCGTACCACTAACTTTGTGTCTAATACCCTCAAATTTATTAGGTCAGCAAGGCAGGCAGTTTGTGATTCTTGGCGACAAAGAGGTGGACTATGATCCCAACTTCAAACTGTACCTGAATACGAAGTTGTCCAACCCAAAGTACTCTCCTAATGTGTTCGGCAAGGCTATGGTCATAAACTACACAGTTACTCTGAACGTATGCCACCATTTACATCTGTGTTCCTATATATATATTGTGGCCATTACAGCCAAGAGGCCAAATTTATGTCAAAGATTTTCACTTCCGTCACTTTGAATTATTTAAATTCATTCAAAGGGCATATTTCAAATCTATAAATCTTTAGTTATTCTAAATGGAATGCGTGGTTGCCATGATGTGTATATTTTATGTGATGAAAGGTTTAGGAAGCATTTATACTTTAGCTTATTGACTTTTCTATCACTGTGCGTCATCTATATATATTGTCACACGTCGGCTTATGGTTTTCTGCCATTATTAGCTGCTGTGTGATTTTAGATGTGTGGCTCTTGTGGTTACTAGGGGAAATGGCGACAGTCTATGGATGAGTGGTCTTAATAACCAAGGAATGTACTCCCTCTATGGGTTGAAATAGTGCAAATCTGTTATTACGTAACATGCTTGACCAACCTATAGCAACGATATCTGAGGGACCGTGGCTATCGCGCTGTGACGGGTACTAAATTGTTCCACAGGGCCTCGAGGACCAGCTGCTCAGCGTCATCGTGAAGTTTGAGCGTAAGGAGCTGGAGGAGCAGCGAGAGCGGCTCATCCAGGAAACGAGCGAGAACAAGAAGCTCCTGAAGGACCTCGAGGACTCCTTGCTGCGTGAGCTGGCCACGTCTACAGGCAACATGCTGGACAATGTCGAGCTGGTCGCGACACTCGAGGAGACCAAGTCTAAAGCAACTGAGGTAGGAGATTCATCTGTATGTAGTTCTCTGATGATATCACTGAATCATGAATCAATGATCAATGAATCAATGAATCATGAATCAATGATCAATGAATCAATGAATCTGTGAATCAATCAATGAATCAATCAATGATACTGAATCAATGAAATCATATGAGATCACTGAGAGGGGAGAGTTACTGATGTGTAGTTAGTGGGGTGAGAAATTTACATACATGTAATCAATAAGGTGGGAGATTTACCTTTATGTAGTCACTGAGGTAGGAGATTTACCTATATGTATAGTTACTGTCGTGCAAAATATAGTGATATGTAGTTATGCTGGGGTGAGAAATTTATCTATATGTAGTTACTGCGGTAGGAAATTTACCTTTGTAGTTACAGAGGTTTGAGATTTACTATATATAGTTACTGGAGTGAAAAATCTACCTATATGTAGTCACTGGCGTAGGATATATACCCATATGTAGTTACTATAGTTACTGTCGTGGGAAATTTACCTTCATATAGTTACGCTGAGAGGGTCTGGGTTTTGATTTTAGACGCTCCGAGATGCATTCTGCGAAATTCCTTGACTGAAAATTTAGATTCAGCATATATTCA